CCCAGGCTAGCTTCGAACAGAGATCCTCAGATGTCAGCCTCTTCCTGAGTATCAGCTAGGATTACGGGTGTGAACCATAGGTACTTAGCTAGGTTCATGTCTTAACCACTGCAGAAGATCACGGGTGTCCTTCTCTGTATATCGAAGCGGAAATAGTCTTGGCTTTACAGGACAATGTAACAATAAATGGATAGTCTATTTAGCAGTGGTACACAGTCACTGCTTAGTTAATATTACCAATTATTGTGATTAACAGACTCAGAGTACGCCCAGTTAAATCCCAATGGCTCATGCTACTCAGGAAGCTGAGATCTAAGGATCGAGGTTCGAAACCAGTGTGGGCAAGAAAGTCCGTGAGACTTACCTCCAGTAAACTACTCAGAAAAAGCCAAATGTGGTACTGTGGCTCAAGAGAGCTAGCCTTGAGCAAAAAACAAAACAAAAACAAAAACAACCTCAGAGTCAGCGCCAAGGCTCAAGTTCAAGCCCCAGGACTGGCAAAAATAAAATAAATAAAAAAAGAGTTCTCCTGTAATTTCTCCCAATAGCAACTTGCAAAACTGAAGTACAAAGTTTATATTGACACAAAACACTGGTGATACTGAGATTCTTCCATTTATGAGTATTCATTCATAGGGTGTTTATGTGTTTTAGAGCTGTACACATGAGCTGTTTATTCACATGCAGATCATGTGACCATTGGACAAGATACCCACCCTAAGAATCCCTCCTGTGGCCCTTTGAAAACTACAGCAACCTCCCCACCTCCATCCCTGAATCTCTGGCAACTGTTATTCTGTTCTTCATTTATATAAATTTGTTACCACCATCTAAGAATTCCACAGCACAGAACCAATATTTGTGGGATTGGTCTCTTCTCGCAACTTGTCCAAATCTGTGCATGTGTTAATCATGGGGTGCTAACTGCCAAGAGCACTTTGTGGCTGACCCATTGAGGGCACCATGCCAGTAGCATTTTCAGTTCAAGCTATTACACACAACTGCTATGCACCTTCATGCTCTCCTCTCTCCTTTCTCATCAGTAAATGACACGGATGCTCCTAAGGTGTCTTTCTGTGGTGAGCATGATTTGTCACCATGCTGTCCTTCCTATTCCAAATCCTAGTGCCTCTGGATAAACCTGAGTAGTTGCTACTGTACAGACACCATCACTAAATAGGCACCTTTGAGGCTGTCTCAGAAAAGAAATAAAAAAGGTCAAACAGGTCTATTAACTATACAACCAAGACTCATCCTGCAGAGACCCTGCTATGTAGAGCTGTGAAGTCTGAAAAGAAAATTACAACAATCTAAATCTGGTTCATAATCAAAATAGAATAGATAAAGGAGGAACGCAAGTACCAAGCTGTCTGAGTTTGAATCCTGGCCTTATCATCTATGGCTCTCTGGCTACAGGTAAGTTCCTTTACTTCTCTATGCCATGTGTAAATGGGCACGCTAACAATAGGATGGGTATGAGGATTAATAATTAGTGCATGTCTACAACAGTGTCTAGCACACAGCACTCATGGAGCATTAGCTCGTACTGTGGCAGGCACTCTCCTAGGCACTTCACAGATTGTTTAACCTATCAATGCCTGTAATAGTGAGTGTTCTTAGGAGACTGATTTTATAGATAATAAAACTGAAGTTGAGTTACTCACTCACTCATGGTCATAGGGCTAGAATATGAAGGAGCACAGATTTATGAATTTGACTCTATGCCACTCTGAAGCCCATAAACTGGGGATGCCACTGCCCTGCCCACCAGCAACTATGAGAATTACCAAAAATATGTAATGTGTATTATACAAATATACATTTAATATATTTATATTAAGTGCATGCTTTATATAATTATTTCCATAGATTTTATATATTACAATGTATTTATTATGTACTAAATTATAAAATTTAATATGCATGCATTATATATATAATGCATTAATATATGCATTATATATATATTATACACATATACACCCCATGGCACTCAATATTCAAACCATTCCCTAAGCTAGTTTCCTTTTTAGCTATTAGCAGTTGATGAAGTTCCATAGATAGCATAACCTGGCCCTAAAGCATTCTGGGTGGCAATGTCCAGGTACTGATAAGCATCTGCAATCATTTGTAGTGCTGACCTGACAGGACAAGCATTCAATGCAGCCACAACCCATTACAGGAACAGCTAACCTCCTCCTTCCTCAGAAGGTACTGCAGTAGCAACGTGGAGCCACAGCTGGCCCAGAGGTACCACAGTGAACGTCCCAGGATGGGAGCCACTCCTGCCTTGCTTCCTCTGCACTTAGTCAGGGTCTGGGGACCAGTAGCCTCTGTAACAATACAGAACTTGGTGTGATTTGGGCCTAACAGAGGATTTGGGCCTCCAGACAGAGGATCAGACTAGCCCCAGTCCACGCTCTTATCAGCTATGTGATGCCAAGCAACTCTGGAGTCTCTTCCACCTCTGTATTATTCTCTGCTGATAACAAATCTAGGCTGGTCTTTCTCTTCACTTCTTATCCCTTCCCTTTTCTCTACATCCCTCTTTTATTCATTCTTGTTCTATTAGCTAGCCCAAAAGTTATTTCCTACCCTGCTTCAGAACCCTATGCTGGAACTCAGATGGTGAACTAGAAACTCAACAGTGCAAGATAAATACAGATGCATTTGATTTATTGAATACATAAAGATGTTCAGGTACTTTTGAAACTTCAGCCTCAATGTACAAACAAAATTCTGCAGCTCAACAATTATTCATTACATGTGGGATTTAAGAGATTTTTTTTATTGATTTATTACAGAGATGATGTACAGAGAGGTTAATGTTTCATAAGTAGGTAATGAGTACCTTTATTTATTTTTTGGGGGGGGGTCCAGTTGTGGGGCCTGAACTCTGGGCCTGGGCACTGTCCCTCAGCTCTTAAGCTCAAGGCTAGTGCTCTACCACTTGAGCCACAGCGCCACTTCCAGCTTTTTTCTTTTTGCTTATGTGGTGCTGAGGAATTGAACCGAGGGCCTCAGGCATGCAAGGCAAGCACTCTACCACTGAGCCACCTTCCCAGCCCCATGAGTACCTTTCTTTTTGGACAATATCACCCCTTCCTTTGCTCTCTCCCAGCTGTTCCTTCCCATCCCCACCCACATATACAGTTCATTTCCACATTGTGGTAAAGGAAGATCTTCTGTACCTAACCCCTAAGGGCCTGTCCATCCTGACATGAACAACTCCAATGATGATGGAGATAATTCAGGTTTAAACAGTGTTTAAACCGGCTCAAGTTGCCCAGGTCCCTACAACAGGAACTGAGGTAAGACTGGCTAGGAGAAACTGTGACAAACAACCTTCACTTCAACTTACAACTGTGGTTTAAAAAACTTTAAACAGGGGCTGCGAATGTGGCTCAGTGGTAGAGTGCTTGCCTAGCATGCATGAAGCCCTGGGTTTGATTCCTCAGTACCACATTAACAGTAAAAGCTGGAAGCGGCGCTTGAGGCTCAAATGGTAGAGTGCTTGCCTTGAGCAAAAGCAGCTCAGGGCCAGTGTCCAGGCCCTGAGTTCAAGCCCCAGGATTGGCAAAAAATATTAGGAAAACGACTTCCACTTCAGAACTGGTTAAAGAGTATTTGGCCAGTGCGTACAGAAAAGACAAAGGGGCTGACAAACACAGTGATGGTTTCATTCAGCCTGCAGTCTCTGAGGCTGTGAGGACCTTACATACCTGCAAAGTTCACCATGACTCCGTGAGGGCCAAATGCTCACAGATCCTTCTGTGTCTCCTTTAGCTCAAAAGAAGAAATGTGAGTCCAAAACAGTATGTGGATTCTTTTTTCCAATGAGTTGATCAGAGGAGTGACAGACAAAGAGGTAAGATGACAGATTTTGCCAGATATAGAATCCAGAATTGGGCCTCAAATACAGCAGGGAAAAATGATCAGATGAGTGCTTAAGGAACATCTGGACACAGTTGGAAAACGAGCATATTTTCAAAACACCCCTTACAGGGTGGGGAGCAGACAAATGAGAGAAAAATAGTGGACAAATACAGTCATAATACTCAATGTACACATATGAAAATAAAATGGAAAACTTGAAGGTGTTGATGGGAGGAGCCAGGGAAGGGTGACCATTTATACATGCTGTACATATAAACTGACAGGTATGCACCTAAAGATAATGAAAACAGTATTAAAACATTCCCCCTCGGTATTCACCAAGATCTTGATGACTCGCTGACCAAAAAGCTTCCAATGCCTTATTTTTAAGCCTTTTATGAAAACTGACATGTTAAAACATAATAAAAGACTTTAATCTTTGATATTTGTGAAATATTCTACTTATGAATGGACATACTTATATTTTAGGTTTTAGAAGAGGGGGCATAGCTCCCCTCTTTAAATGTTATCTAAACATTTAAAACCACAAAATTGGAGACTGTAAAAAAAAAGATACCAAAGTTGCTTTTAGTGGGTTTTTTTTTAATGCTAAAAGCAACTTTGGTATCGATTTTTCACATTAAAACCAACTGGAGCTTTGGAAGGGAGACTTGGTCTGCAGGTGCTGCCCTGTGAAAGCTGATGTGTTTCTTCCATTCATTGTACTACTGCAACCTATAAGCCTGCTTCTGTCCATGTCAAAAAAAATTCTTAGAGATTATGTCATGTTAAAATCTACCTATATTTCATGTTATAATAATAATGTAATTTCTGAGAGTCTATGGTTGTCTTTAATAATACTCAAACAACAAAACCCTACCTGTCCTACATGTAAGGTATGCAGGAAAACACCACCTGAAGAAACCGAAAACTGTTTCTCTAAACTACATTTGTCTGGAAATCCATTAGTTGAGGTCAGATACTACTTACTTGAAACTTGTCATTCTGGGCTGGGGAAATCATTTGCAGCCAGTTTTTCCTTGATGCCAAATATTTGCTGAGAATTAAAAAGCTCATGACATTTCCTAGCCAAGAACTCCATGACAAAAGAGTTTACATAGGTCCAGTTTTCTTAAAATCACTGATTTTATTCTATAAAGAAGTCATCCATGGCACTAATAAACCAAGCATCTCATAAATTCTAGAATGCAAAATAAAGTTTTTTTTCCTGCTTAACAACAATTTTATCCATAGGTTACGAGACAAAATTATCAATGCTTTGCAACCGATCGCAGACCAATATCTTTTGTCTGAGTGCCCTACTAAATGTTTACTAGGGCCATTATCCTTCAAATTGCTACATCATCTCGTTTCAAATAGATTATTCATTAAAATAAATGGGAGTAATGTCAGAACCTGACTACTTTAGCCAAATTAAGAAACAAACTTCCTCTTTAAACCTGCACGCTGAATTTTTACATACTAAAATAACCATTCTCAGTCATGGCTACCAGAGGCCCTTAGAGACAGTGGTACTTCTTGGCCATCAAATATCCCAGTTCAGATATGCTCTGTTCTTCAACGTTCTGACAAAGGCCTCTGAACTGGTGACTCACACCCAAGTGAGTTGATCTTCTTCTCAATGAGAGAGATCTGCAGCACAGGTAAGAGCAGTTGAAAGGCATCTTGGATGTAGGAGGCACTGTTTGATGCCTGGCAGGATTGAAAAAACAAAGTATCCAGTCACATAAAAGAGAAAACAGAATACATAAAAGAACAGTGCAATCTTTTTTGTGTGTGTGCATCTGTCCTGGGACTGTCCTGGGTGCTGTCCTTGAGTTTTTTTGCTTAAGGCTATTGATATTGCTCCACAGCTACACATTTGGCATTTAATTGGTGAGATAAGTGTCCTAACAGACTTTTCTGCCCAATCTGGTTTCAAACTGTGATTCTCAGACCTCAAGTTTCCTGAGTATGTAAGATTACAAGTGTGGCCCACCAGCACCCAGCTAATATGTGCAATCCAACTGCATTTGTAGCTTACCAAATTAAGAACAGATACTTGAGACTAGATTGCTAACTTCTTTATAAGGGAGACAAAGACCTAATTTAAGCTAGAGAGAGCATCAAGAAAAGAAGTGTTTTTTAAGATTGTCCATCGGAAATAGTTGCTGTTCTTTGGCATCCTGCTCTCACTGGACATTCACAATTTGTTCTTTGATTGAGTAAACAGATTCTGTCCTAACACTTGAGTTCATTGTTGAACTCACAGAATTCACAGTTGTGAATTCTGTACCAATAGGAATTCCAGCCTTGTATGACAGACAGCTTTTCTTCCCAGGACTAAGCGCAAACAGTGAGCACAAGATAGCGGCTGGCAATCATGAAGAAGGAACGCTACTTTCAAAGATGGAACAGTGTAGACCCTTTCCTATCTGTACAACATACTAACAAGCAGTGTCATGGAATCACTATGCTCAGTTTGCCAGAGTTCATCTATATCTGACAAAAGAATTGTTCATTACACAATGATAAAATGTACAATTTCAATTTCAAGTCATTCTTGAAACAATCAAAACAGCAACAGGAAGCCCATGCCAAGTGAGATGACCACTGCTGCCTTTATCACTGACTAGAACTCCTACCCCAACTTCAGTGCAACATTTCATTACACATTTTCTAGCCAAAAAGAAAAAAGAAAACTTAAAATAATGAGATTGTCCAAGACTGTACATTCCAGGACAGGATGGGCCTCCAGGTTTAAAAAGTTCTTTCAACTCTGCCACTCTGCCAGTTCCTGCATCACAAACTCCTAAGAGTGCCCCTCAACTATTCAAAGAAAACTGTGTGTACTTAAAGAATTAAGAGCATCTTTTTAATACTAATGTCTAAATAATTTTTAAATAATTGAAAACTAACGTTAACATCCTGTATTGAACATTTAGCCCATTATCAACATCTTTCTTCTAGACTAAGTATGTCCAAAACAAATCATCAAAAGCCTAAATTGTCTGCACAATTAATTTATAAGGCAGAGTTTTTTTTTCTGGATATTTTGCCAGACTAGAGAGAGCCCCTACCAAGAGCTTTACCACTTGAACCACACTAATAGCCCTTTTGCATTTTAATTTTTCTGAGAGGATCTCATGATAACTTTGCTTCAGATCACAATCCTCCTATTCTCAACCCCGTGAACAGCTGGGATTACAGGTAAAAACCACTAAACTCAGCTTGTTTTTGAGAAAGGATCTTATTACCAACTTGGCCTCAAACCATGATCCTCTAGGCTCTACATCCCAAGTAGCTAGGTTTTCAGGCATTTGAAGATAGAATTCTTAACACATACAATCCAAAAACCATCATAGAGGGGAAACAATGAAATTATGGGTTCTTTGTACCCCTCCTTTTTTCTTTGTTGGTTATGGGGCTTGAACTCTGAGCCTGGGTGCTATCCCTGAGCTCTTCAGCTCAACACATGCGCTCTACCACTTGAGCCACAGCACCACTTCTGGTTTTCTGGGAGTTAACTGGAGATAAGCATGTCATGGACTTTCCGCCTGAGCTGGCTTTGCACCTTGACCCTCAGATCTCAGCCTCCTGAGTGGCTAGGATTACAGGCGTCAGCCTGGGACCCACGCCCTCCTTCTTTTCAGACAAACTATCCATACCTGAAATCTAACAGACAGATGAGGACTATGTAAACACAAAGGGTATTTTTCTTTGGGGGCAAGGAAATGATAAAATGTTTTGCTCTCAGACAAACTGTAGTCCTTTAGGAAGTAGTGCTTGCCTGTTTGTAATTATCAACATTTCACTAACAGGTTGGTCTCCAGAATGTGTTAACCTAGAATTATCCCTTAAGTTGTCAAGGGGAAGGGACTAAGCAATGATAGCCTACTGCTTCCTGCATTCTACTTTGTGCCAGAGCTTCTACCTTATTCTCTATACTTAATGGGCAGGGATACTTAGCAAATAAACACCACTTTGGTAATATCTGCAAAAATAAGGTTAAAAACTGCCTATCTGGATTTTAAGGAACCAGAAATTAAAGACTTAATACACAGTGCCTTTTGAGTTAAAAACTTAAAAACAAAAAAACAAAAAACCTACTACTAACCTCCAGAAATACTGCAGTGATTAATGGATTAAGGACATCCGCCTTTTCTTTAACCTAGAATAAAGGAGACAGTTTTACATCAGCAGCTCTACATCTCTCTGTTAAAAAAACATTTTGACACATACACACATAACACACATAAATATAAGCATAAAATAACTAGACTGGAAAGAACAAAACTCTGCTGCAAAGTAAAATTTTAAGTGATTTGAAGAATTCAGGGCTGGGAAGGTACTCAGTGGTAGAGGTGCTTGCCTTGCATGCATGAAGCCCTGGGTTCGATTCCTTAGCACCACATAAGCAGAAAAAGCTGGAAGTGGCACTATGGTTTAAGTGGTAGAACGCTAGCCTTGAGCTGAAGAGCTGAGGGACAGCACCCAGGCCCAGAGTCCAGGCCCCATGACCGGCAAAAAAAAAAAAAAAAAAAGCACTTAATTTCCTTTCTGGGCTATTCAGATTGGCGATATACTGCCTTACAGAGTGGAGGAAATGTCTTCATTTTAGGAAAGAGGATGGGAAAGATACATCTGACCACAAACTTTAAAACAAAACATGGAGATAGGGCTGGGAATGTGGCTTAGTGGTAGAGTGCTTGCCTAGCATGCACGAAGCCCTGAGTTCAAGTCCTTAGTATCACATAAAAAGAAAAGGCCAGGGGCTGGGAAGGTGGCTCAGTGGTAGAGCGCTTGCCTTGCATGCCTGAGGCCCTGGGTTCGATTCCTCAGCACCACATAGGCAAAAAGAAAAAAGCCGGAAGTGGTGTTGTGGCTCAAGTGGTAGAGCGCTAGCCTTGAGCTAAAGAGCTGAGGGACAGCGCCCAGGCTCAGAATTCAGGCCCCACGACCAGAAACCCCCCCACCCCCAAACAAAGAAAAAGCCAGAAGTGGTGCTGTGGCTTAGGTAGTAGAGTGCTAGCCTTGAGCAAAAGAAGCTTGGAGACAGTTCCTGAGTTCAAGCCTCAAAACTGGCCAAAGAAAAAACCCTAAAAAACATGAAGATCTAGAACATGTGCTAAAAAAATCAATAGGTTTTAAGACAGGATGTATGGAAAAGTCTCATTTCATGGAAATAAACGGTGCACATTTAATACATGTATTATATACTTCATAGTTGAGTCACAGGTTTCACATATCCTTATGATTTGGCCTCATAAAATTAATTTCAGGAAACCCAGAAGCTCTTTAAAAGAAAACACCAAGAGAAAAAGAGAAACTATATCCCAGAATTATCCCTAATAAGAATAATCTAGATTCAAATTTTAAAAATATGAATTATGGTACAATTAAAATAAATTTAAGGCCCCACAGTAACTTCTCTGCCATAATGACACTAACAATTTTATTTTCTTTTTAAAATGTTCTTGATTTATCTTAATTCAGGATTATCAATTTCTCAAGTTATGTTCCATAACTCAAAAACCTTCAATAAAAAAATACTTAGAATCCCAATTCAAAAAAACCTTTAGGTTTAATTGTATTTGGGTTTAATTGTAGCTCTCTCACTGAGTGGCAGCTATATAATATGAATGTTACCACTGTTTGATAGAGATGCTACTCTTTTTTGTGTATGTGTATATTCCAATCCTGGGAGCTGTCCCTGAGCTTCTTTTGCTCAAGGCTAGTATTCTACCATTTGAGCCAAAGTTCCCCTTCTGGCTTTTTTTTTTTTTTTTGGTAGCTTATTGGAGCTAAGTTTCATAGACTTTCCTGCCTAGTATGGCATCAAACCATGATCCTCAGAGCTCAGCCTCCTGAGTAACTAGAAATAAATGTGTACATAAGCTCCCAGCAAGATGCTACTCTTTAAAAGCTAGAGTCAAACTTTGGAGGTTTTATTTTATTTAGGTTTAATGTTAGCCCAGTGAGCTCAAGCTCCCTTCCCATAGCTTAGTACATTCCTTCCCCTCTCCACAGCTTAGCATGCTCCCTTCCTAGGCAACACTAGGCCCATTTAGTAAAGGCAGTAAATATTCAGCCTCCAACCCCCTTTACTTTGGGATGGCACTTCTCTGGGGCAGCTATCACCATATAAGGCAACAAGAGCCTCTTAGAGTGACCTTCAGCTCTGGGCAGCTGCAAAGCCCCTTATCTACTATTTGGGCCATCAGTCATAAATCCTAGTCTGACATGATGCCCCTGGCCCTCATGTCCACACCAGGGTCTCTGCCTCCTAGCCCCTTCTGGCCCCTCCTAGACCTCCTAAGTTATATAGGTCACCTCAGACAATAGCCAATGTTCTTCTCACTGCTCCCTTGTGAGAAGGGGTCTTGCTGGCCCCTTTCCCGGCAATAAACATTTCTATGTTCCCTGTACCTGGATGTCTGCGTGGTTTTCTGGCAAAAGTCTAAAATAATCTAACATTCATACTTCCATACTGAAGAGTACATAAAAAGAGAACAAAAATGAATTGTAAACACAGTTACATATAGATATAAGCTGATCCTAAAACTTATGTGGACATATATGGGGCCCCAGTGGTCAAAACATAAAATAGCTAGAAGGCTCATTATTTTTTGATGCAAAACCACAGTAATTAAGACAACATGGTACTCACAGACACATCAATAAAGTATCAAGCGGAGCTTATGTTATCTGTGGTTCCTAGACTTCTGACAAAGGGCCAAGAAAATCCAATGGGGGAAAATGGTCTTTACAAATGGTGCTGGAACTGTGAATATTCACATGCACAAGAATATAGTCAGACCCTACACTTCATATCACGTAAAAAAATTCACTCCAAATGAATCACAGACATCAGAACTAAAACAAAAACTCTTAGAAGAAATAGAAAAGTAAATCGTCATGACCTTGGAATAGGCAGTGCTTTCTTGGATACAACACCAAAAGCACAAGTGATAAGACAGAATACTAACAAGCTGAATTTTACCAAGATTTCTGTGAAAAGTACACTATCAAGGAAGTGAATATGGGTGCCAATGGCCAATGCCTGCAATCCTATGTACTCAGGAGGCTGAGATCTGAGTGAGGATCATGGTTCAAAACCATCCTGAGCAGGAAAGTCTGTGAAACTCTATGTCCAATAAAAATTCTTCAAGAAAGCTAGAAGTTGAGCTGTGGCTCAAGTGGCAGAGTGCTAGCCTTGAGCAAAAGCTCAGCTACAGTGCCCAGGGCCTGAGTTCAAGAACTAGGACTGGCACAGACACACAAAATTAAATTTAATTAAAAAAATTTTTAAAAACAAGTGAAAGAAGAAGCCATGGAAAAAACACATGCATATCATACATCTGATAAACGACCCAAGTATCTGTCAACTAAAGAATAAAATAATGCCAGGCGCTGGTGGCTCATACCTGTAATTCTAGCTACTCAGGAGGCTGAGATCTGAGGATCATGGTTCAAAGCCAACCCAGGCAGGAAAGCCCATGAGACTCTTAACTCCAATTAACCACCAGAAAACCAGAAGTGGTCCTGCTGTGGCTCAAGTGGGAAGAGTGCTTGCTTTGAGCTAAAGAGCTGCAGGACAGTGCCCAGGCCCAGAGTTCAAGCCCCAATACCAAAAAAAAAATAAATAAATAAAAATGATGTGATGTATATCCCTAAGAGTACATTCAGTACTAAAAAGTACTGACAAGTGCTAAAGCATAGATGAACTTCAAAAGCACAGGTTAATGAAACCTGACATAAATACTACAAAGTGTATGATGTCATTTATAAGAAATGTCCACAACCAATATAGAGAAAGAAAATAAATGCATATTGCTTAGGACTGAGGGACTGTTAAAGGAAACAAGTAATTATGAGGATTTTAGGAGAAAGATGAAAAATGTTTTAAAATATGATTATAATGACTGCACATTTATGTAAGGACACAAAAACCACACTTCAAACAGAATAATTCTATGATATATAAAATATATCCAAGACAACAAAATAGGAGCCTGTAAGAAGCATGAATTCTTACCCCAGCAGTTGTTAGGCAAGTGGTGAACTCTTTAGACAGAAAGGACAGCTCTTTACACAACACAATTGTCATCCTAAGGAAGAAGAAAGAAAGGAAATTTCATCTCTTCTTTCTTTTTTGAAATAAGCCATATTTAAACAATTGACATAAAGAAATGGGTCCAGGGAAAGAAGGCAGCTTTTAAAGGTATAAAAACACCTAAGTTCAGCCATTTATTGTACTTGGAGACTCATCTAATTAGTCAAAGCCACAGGAAGAGGAAGTCTACTCCTTAGAAAAATATGTTCCTTATCAGAAATTACTATCACTTCAAGTTAAATCAAAGGAATTAATTAAAATGCACTTTCAAAAAAAAGCTGGATACATGTGGCTCACATCTGTAATCCTACCCAAGAGGCTGACATCTGAGGACCACAGTTCAAAGCTAGCCTGGGCAGGGAAGTCTGTGAAACTCTTATCTCCAATTAACCACCAGAAAACTGGAAGTTGCCCTGTGGCTCAAAGTGATAGAGCCCTAACATTGAGCAAAAAAGCTCAGGGATGGCACTTAGGCCCCAAGTTCAAGCCCCATGGCCAGCAAAAAAAGAAAAAAAAAAGACTTTTTAAGTACGTGTTTAGAAATATAGTTGAAATAGGAATCCTGAATCTAAATCCTTCAGTAGTTCAAAGAGGAACATGACTCTGTGTGTTCAGAATGACTGTCTCTCAAGGGGACTCCAAGTTTATGCAAAATTTTGTAATCACTTTATCCAAATCAAAGTGATGCTGTTTCTTGCTATCCATTCCCCATCTTGGGTTTAGGCAGTTGAAGCCAGCACTTGGTGGTGCTAAGTATGGATGCTACTTTTCCTGGTAACTCTGTTACATCAAGATCCCCTCCCTGCCTTTCCACTGGTTATCAAATAGAAGCCTTGCTATTAGTCTCCTCTCTAGGAAGACTATGTAGGGTTTTACTACAGAACTGCCATTTCTCCAGGTCAACTCCCTGCAAGCCAGTGTTATCCTAGATGGGGAGGTGCTATTTTTAGACAGTGGCGGAAGGAAGGATCTCTGAGCACTCAGCATTTGAGTAGACAGTTGAATTCAGTTAGGGAGGGAGCATGCCTGACAAAGCACTCTAAGTGGCAGGAATTTTCCCTACAACAGGTTGCTCTGGAGTTGTGTCTCCCACTCTCCAGGGTGTTCATCAAAACTGGGACCCCTGTGGGATTTGCCAGAGCAGAGATGATGCCTCAGCTGAAGAGGAGGTTTGGAGAACAGCAGCAGCCTCTCCCATCCTAAGAAACAACACCACCTCAGGTCTATTTAAACACTACTGGGCCCTTTTGTTTTTCTTCCTGGGAATACTTAGATTCTTCCATTGTAAACAAGATTTGCTCAAAATCAGCAACACAGTCAAAAAAATGGGTATTAAGGCTTAAATCAGTGCTAAAGTCCTGGGTTGGACATCTGGGCAGATTACAAAGCAATCTACATTTCTAAATGCTGGACTAATCACTTACTCTTTGTGTTGTTGTATAAATTGAGAATAATACACCTAAATCCCTTAGCATGGTGCCTGGCATATAATAAGTGCCCGGTAATGAATAGCTCTTATTAAGAATTAAGGTACTTAGAACTATTCTGTTTTTACTTACACCAACTTCCATTCTTATGAGGCTGAGATGAAACTGATTTTAGAGCATAAGGCCATTAATGAAAAGGATGGGTTTAACGCAGACTTACCATAGCTCAATAAAAAAAGAAAAAAGTCACCCCAAATGAACAAAGCTTTAATCTGTACATGAACATAATGTGACGATAGTATCATTTTGTTAAAACAGAAATATCTAAAACCTTTGGAAACCAGCCAAGAAAACTTAGCATCTGACACCCTTTAAAGAGATAGCCATTCTACATACTGGGAAAGAGTCTGGCTCCTGGCAATGGCTGTCACTTCCTGTTTCTGGCCATGCAGAACCAAGGCTGCTGTTTTGTGGAACAGTTCTATGGAGCAGGCAGTCAACTCTGCTAGGCTACGGATTGCAAATGCATGGATATCCTGGATGGGAGAAAAAAAGCATAACAAAGCATTAGTTTCTGTTTGTGATGTTTTGAAAACCTGAGTAAAAATGAACCACCTGGCTTCTCTCAGTCATTTGAAAGTAGCAGAGACTAATAGTTGTCCCCCATAAACACTCTCTTTTATAGTAACGATGTAATTTTTCTATAACTGAAAAAAACAAGAGGCTCCCCCTACAGTTGGATATAATCATGTGACTAAGTTTTGGCCAAAAGATTTAAACAGTGTTGCTGGGTGTCAGTGGCTCATGTTTGTAATCTTAGCAACTCAGGAGATTTGAAGAGCTCGGTTCAAAGCCAACCCCAGACACTTATCTCCAATTAACTACCAAAAAGGCAAAAGTGGAGCCGTGGCTCAAGAAGTAGAGCACTAGACCTTAGCAAAAGAAGCTCAAGGATAGTATTCAGGCCCTGAATTCAAACCCCTGGAACACACACACGCACACTTGTGCACAGACACAGACAGACACACACACAGTGTTTGTTAGCAGTTTCTGGGAACCTTCCTCATGACACATGCACTCCTCTATTACTCGTAAAATGCTGCATCTCGGGTCATTATCTCCAGAACTACAATGCTTATTAAAAGGTTGAAATTATGAAGCTGGGCACCAGTGGCTCATGCCTATAATCTTAGCTACTCAGGAGGCTGAGATCTGATGATCATGGTTCAAAGCCAGCCCGGGCAGAAATATCCTTGAGACTATGATCTCCAATAAACCACTAGAAAACCAGAAGTGGTGCTATGGCTTAAGAGGTAGAGCGCTCGCCTTGAGCTGAAGAGCGTAGGGACAGCGTCCAGGCCCAGAGTTCAAGCCCCACAACTAACAACAACAAAAAAAAGGTTGAAATTATGGATAACACTGCAATGAACCTGAAGGATCCCGGGTCCTTAACTTTAAAACCTATCTTAGGAGGGGAGGGAAAGGGGGAGGGGGGAAGGGGAAGAAGGAGTAGGAGGGAAGAACACAAACTTAAAAGTTACCTCTATTGTATTTTTGTTGATTTCAATAGTATTTTCTGTTTCCAACTGTATTTCTCCTTTCTCTTTCTCTGCTGTTGGCTTGGCCAGGGATCTCTTGATCCATTCATAGGTTGCACTTCTGGCCTAAACAAAGCAAGATGGACACTTTGAAAGATTCATCAAAGTAAGTTCTGATACTTCAAGTTCATCCCTTGAGTTCATATCCACTTCATGACTAGTTCCCCTGCTTCTAAGCTGGCTCACTTTAAGTTTATTTTCATCTGCCGTAATGCTATGAGTGATCAGCCCAGAGCTGAGTATTGATACTTTCTTATCAACTAGATCAAGCTCCTTCACGGGATCTCCCAAGTCCCCAGGACATTTCCCTTCACCACTGCCTCAGTGGCCTGGCATCCTTCTTCTACTTTATAGTCTACCAGTAATGAACTGCAGTCATCCACCCATGTGCTGTCTCTTCTGGATAATTCTCCAGGAGACCAGGCACTCCAACAACACTTCCCTGAACTTCCATACTCCTGTGAATCCCTTAAATTTATTACTTAACAGAATATACTGAAATTAACTATGTGTTACTCTCCAAACTAACCTATATATTAATAGGTAGCCACAAAGTGTCTAATTTGGCTTTTCTAGTGCCTGACACAGAGTAGAGAATACCCACTGCTTTAAGGACCATGTTCTTATCTCCTTTCTAGAAGCTTTCTGATACTTCTCTGTTTATGTGATATTGGTTGAATTAAACCTTCAGCCAATGACAAATGATTCTGGTTTAGCTAAGAAGAACATTAATCCCCTTGTTGTCACAGTAATTGGTTACTGGATAGAAAGCAAAATCCAGTCAGGTCTATGGACCCCCATAACATCTGGTAAGTTTTGAAAGCCCTCTTCCCTCAGTGAAACCAATGCAAAGTAAAGCAGAGCCAAGAGATATAGATAGTTAGAGCTCTATCTAAAGCCCTTGAGCTGATAGTTTCTTGGCTATTGAGTAATTCTCTTTCCTCATGACTTGAATTTCTGTCTTTGACAGGTGAGAAAGTCTTAGTTTCTCATAAAATGCTTATTGCCATTAAATGAAGGCATGCACTTGAATGCATGCAAAGCTGCAACCAGGGAACAGGAATCCTTGAGACACTGAAGACTTCATTTCTGAAGATCTTGAAAGTCATTCCAACAGGCTTTATTACAGGTTTTATTACAGGTAAGGCTTTAGAACCTTTCAAGACCATGGGTAGGACTATACCCAAGAGTAAACACAAGGGGCTGGGAAGGTGGCTCAATGGTAGAGTGCTTGCCTTGCATGCATGAGGCCCTGGGTTTGATTCCTCAGCACCACATAAGCAAAAAGAAAAAAGCTGGAAGTGGCGCTGTGGCTCAAGTGGTAGAGTGCTAGCCTTGAGCTGAAGAGCTGAGGGACAGTGCCCAGGCCCAGAGTTCAGGCCCCACGACCGGACCCAAAAAACAAACAAAAAAAAAAAAAACAACAACAAAGAGTAAACACAAATGAGCTGAAGTAGAGCCTCAGATTCCTCAGGAAAACCCTTACAAGCAATCTGGCTCTTATCTAAACCTTCCCATTACTCAATAGTAAACAGCTGAACCTCCCAGTTCCAAACACCAAACAGAATGAATTGTATACAGGCTGTGAGGCAGGAAAATTCAAAGTGTGTTGAGCAAACCCTGAGGCATCTAACAAGACCAGAAGAAAAGATATAAGCATTTAATAATTCATTTGTCTCAAATGTATAGTGTACACTAAGTTGGATACTACAAATTTAGTAATTAGAGGCCTGTACATTTTAATTTTTATAAGAAAAGCAAGCAAAAATACAAAAATACCCATGAAGAAAATGAAATGGGGTATAGAAAGTGTAGGATTAGGATCATGAAAGCTAGTCAAGTTAGGTGGCCAAGAAGTGTTGCTAAGTGAAATCTGAGCTGAACTCAGAAGAATCACAAGGAACTGGGCATTAAGCAAAGGTATCTGTACATACAGGAAAATCAGTTGATAAGTTTGAGGAACAAAACATGGCCAATGAGAAAAGGAGAGCATAACAGGAGATGAGGTCAGAGTGTTAAGCTTCACAGAAGAGAATAAACAGCAAGGGAGGCTGGAAAGGTTCCTAATAGCTGATTAACAATCCAGACAGTATGTGAATTCCTTTGTAATTTCTTCTGAGATAATATGAGTGGAAAAGAAACTAAAGATTAATTTATCTGAGGTTAAAAAAAGAAAGTGGGTGCTGGTGGGTCACACCTGTAATCCTAGCTATCAGGAGGCTGAGATCTGAGGATTGTGGTTCAAAGCCAGCTCGGGCAGGAAAGTCCGTGAAACTCTTATCTCCAATAAACCACCAGAAAACCGGAAGTGGAGCTGTGGCTCAAGTGGTAGAGTGCTCGCCTTGAGCTGAAGAGCTGAGGGACAGCGCCCAGGCCCTGAGTTCAAGTCCCACAACTGAAAAAAAAAAAGGAAGAAAGAAAAGAAAAGGCCAAGTGCCAGTGGCTCACACCTGTAATCCTAGCTAATGAAGAGGATGAGATCTAAGGATCGCAGTTCAAAGCCAGCATGGACAGAAAAGTCCCCGTGAGACTCTTATTTCCAATAAACCACTCAAAAATCAGAATTGGTATTATGGATATCAAGGGGTAAACTGCTAGCCTTGAACACAAAGAGGCTCAGGGACAATGCCTAGGCCCTGACTTCAAGGCCTACAACTGACCAAAAAAAAGAAAAAGGAAGAAAAAAAAACCCGCATGAAAGCCACATAAAAGAAAACTGATACCATAAATTTAATATGCTTGAAGGAGATATTTAATAGGCATAGTGCATATCCAAAGTGACTTCCTTTGTAAATAATTCAGTAAGAGAAGTCATCATAAACTACTGAACCAACCCAGGACAATTTATCATTTTTTTCCAAAATTATTACTACCATTCACCACTATGATTCAGCCTGGAACTTCTTGCTGGTGAGGTTGGGAAAAGAATTAAAAACACTATGGCTTAGTTATTCCAAAAACTAATATTTTTTTCTAGCTGAACAATCACAAGGCCTGAAAAAAGAATGGGATTTGCTGAAGGTCATGTACGTCAGGGCGAGAACCAGCCACATTCCCAGACACACAAGTTCCAGTGTGCTTTTCCCTACATCATGCAGTATGCAGACAACCAGGCCGATGATTACCCATGCTATATCCTCCATCTCAATGCCAAAAACTTCAACTATCTGAAAACTGCCTTCCGAGAATTGCCACATGGGACCACATGGGGAATTATTGACCACATGGCAATTTCTGACCTATTAAAAATATTTATTAACATGATTTTTTTATTCTTGTGATTTTTCTATGTCTTTCTTGTCATTATTTCCCTAGCACCTAGCAAATTACCTAGAATAAGGGTTAAGAGACATGTCTGCTTACTGAACATCTACATGTATATTTAGAATACAAAGCTAGTTTCTATGGGGTCATCAACACTGAGCCTCACACTTTGTAAGAGCTTTGTATAAATGATGACATATTTAACTCTCAAGCACTCTACATTTGCCATGCGGCAGTGACTCAAACCTGTCATCCTAGCTACTAAAGGGAAGGAGGTGCTGGTGTTGTTCAAAAATATTAATGTTATAAAGATAAGGAAAAGCTGAAAAATTATTCCAGACTAAAAGAGACCTAGTATACACAACTACATATAATTCATGATCATGTACTGGTATTAGTACTGGAGGAAAAAAATTGGTAGAAAGAACGGAAATGAGCCAATTGGCAAAACTGGAAAATGGACAGAAGATTAAGCAAAAGTATGGCATTGTTAGTAATGTACTGAAGCTGATAACTATTCTGTGGCTACGTAATAATGGGACATTTATATGCTGAGGAGATCATGATTAAAATATGCAGGAATAGAGGACTACAATATATACAAATTAATCTCAAATATGTGTCCACAGAGAACATACATGCAAGCACAAGTGATTGGGCAAATAAAGTAAAATATGAAACATAGTGAATTTGCATAAAAAGCACACAAATATTGTTTATATTCCTTTTGTGACTTTTCTCTAAAGTTGACCATTTTTAAACAATACTAGATTGAATAGTGAAGAGATACACTTGAACTGCAGAAGATGAGTTCCTGAGAAGTGGTCCGAGCAGGTTTCGTGGAGAATGTAAGGGATAAGAATAAAAGACCAATGGGGCTGGGAAGGTGGCTCAGTGGTAGAGCGCTTGCCTTGCATGCCTGAGGTCCTGGGTTTGATTCCTCAGCACCACATAAACAAAAAGAAAAAAGCCGGAAGTGGCGCTGTGGCTCAAGTGGTAGAGCGCTAGCCTTGAGCTGAAGAGCTGAGGGACAGCGCCCAGGCCCAGAGTACAGGCCCCACGACCAGACCCTCTCCTCCCCCCCCCCAAAAAAAAACAATAAAAGACCAAGTGTTACATTCCTTACCCTAAGACACAGGAGCAAACAGGACAAGCTGACTTACATGGCCATCAGCTCCCTCTGTCCAGGAAGCATTGTGTGCCTGCTGCTTACTGGCTTATAGAATGTCTCTTGAGCCTGGGAAAGGTAGGCATAAAAGGAAAAAAGTAGCCCATGACCCAGTGAGCAGTATGCCATGAGCAGGCAACCAAATATATGCTGTATTAAATATTACTCTGGATACAGAACCTCCCTACCCACTCTGACTTGGATATGCACACAACTCACAAGTCACTAACGAAGAGCAAGGCTTTGCCCAAGGGTCTTACTTCCATATGGTAAATGGTCACTATCTCAGTTTTTATCCACTAAAGTGTTACAAATAAACAAATTAAAATCACCAAGAAGTAATAACTTACCCTGGCAAGTTTATCTGGTTTGCAGGAGATTTGCAGCTGGGAAAGAAGCTCTGTTATCTCTTCAGAAAAATCTTCATCCCCTGAAAAAAACGAAGTCTCACATGAAAAACATTCCAGAAAAACTGCTGAGGATCACAAGAAAGGTAAGAAGGAAGAGGAAGGAAGGCAGCAGAAATATTCATAACAATTTATCTGAGCATGGAATATGAGTGCTTACAGAATCTTTTCATGCATGGTATGTCAATGAATGTTCTTAATGGGCTTATAAGAGAAGTGGGCATTATCATATTATGATAAAGATAGGGAAGGCTGGAAGAGGTCAAGGATTTCTTCAAGATCTCTTAGGAAAGATTAGGAGTTAAAATGGTAGCCCTCCACTTTCAATGCTCTTTGCATCACATTTCAGAAGAATGCATGGAGATATGAAGCAGATATTGTATAAAGAAAATGGAATTCAAGGCTAGGAATATGGCTTAGTAGTAGAGTGCTTGCCTAGCATGCATGAAGCCCTGGGTTCCATTCCTCAGTACCACACAAACAGAAAAAGCCAGAAGTGGCACTGTGGCACAAGTCGTAGAGCACTAGCTTTCAGCACAAAGAGGCTCAGGGACAGAGCTCGAGCCCTGAGTTAAGCCCCAGGACCAGAAAAAAGAAAAACAAAAAAAGAAAACAGAATTCAAGTTGGTACAGTAAAACAGTCAGGAGACTCAAGGGTAGCCAAGAAAATGGGAAGAGTTTCAGGCAGAGAAAATGAGTGCCAAGATTAGGGGGTGAAAGCCTGGTAGGAAGTTTAGTATGATCACAGAATTTAATGTAAGCAAAGGAAAAAAGCAACAAAGTAGGATCCAGCTAAGACTGGGTCTTTATACCTTAATAAGATTTTAAACTTTCTACCAAAGAGATGAGGAACTACTGAATGATTTTTTAAAACAGAGACAGATAAGATCAAATTTAAATCAATAGAAGGTTACTTTAGTAGCTGAGTAGAGAACTAATCAGCACTAATCTAGGAACAAAAAAGGCAATGAACCTGAGGCAATAATCCATGATCCAAGTAAGAGATGGAGATGTGTAAATCGGAGTGGGGGGGGGGGGGGGGAAGGATTCCTAAACATTGGAAGGGTGCTAAGGAAAATGTTGAAATTATCCTGATGATGGGAACATAGAACACCTCATTGGAGAAACAGGCAAACATATGGGTAAGTCAAGAGTAAACTATAATCAAGACAGCCAAACAAACTGTCAGGAAACATTCCTTCTCTCTTTACACACCTAAATCTTATCCATTCACTCCTTGTGAGACCAGCCTAAGGTTTTAACCCTTAGAATCTATATATTTCTTAATCACCAGTCTGTAGCTTCAAAGGGCAAATTATTACTGATTTATACCTGCCATTGTCCCCAAAAATCCTGAGGGCGAGAAATGTATCATAGCCCTTGGCATTTAAGACAGAGAATTTAAATGATTTAGTGATTTCAAGTATAAGATGGATTGTAAAGAAGGTGATCTCATTAGTACAATCCTTACCTATATAACTCACTTAAGCAATATTTAATTAAATCCTACTATGAAAAAATCTACTGAGCTGGGAAGGTGGCTCAGTGGTAGAGTGCTTGCCTTGCATGCATGAGGCCCTGGGTTTGATTCCTCAGCACCACTAAAGCAGAAAAGCTGGAAGTGGCGCTGTGGCTCTGAAGAGCTGAGGGGCAGTACCCAGGCCCAGAGTTCAGACCCCATGACTGGCAAAAAAAACATTCAAAATCTGGCTTTTAGGTAGTCGTTCCATTTTCCCAACTAAATTCTACTGGGTGCAAGAAATTAATCTGGAAACATAGTGAGATACCTATATACCAAAGGATTGACAAAAATAACCCAATAACATGTGGAAAAAAAACTTTTTTTCATTTATATTTATCTCATTCCATTCTAAAAATTATTTAGTGTATACTTAGAATATAAATAATACTTCAATATATACTTTTAATTTACAAATGTTCAAATATACAATGTATTATGCCTGAGTGGTCAATAAACATTTTTCTGGTAATAGTCGTGAACAAAAAGGAGGCTGGGCAATGGTGTGGCTCATGCCTGTAATCCTAGCTATTTGGGAGGCTGAGAATGAAGGATTATAATGTGAGGTCAGCCTTGGCAGCACAGTTTGTGAGATCCCCTTCTCAGCCATCGCTTGGTATAGTAGTATGTGTTCATCTTCCTACACTAATGTGAGAGGCCAAAATTAGGAGGATCTCAGTTCCAACCTAGCCTGGGCAGAAAACTTTAGGAGATTCCATCTCAACAGAGAAGCTGGACACAGTGCCTATGATCCTAACAATGACAGGAAGAATGAAACAGGCAATTGTAGTTCAGGCATGCATCCAGGCAGAAAGCCAGATTCCCCTGAAAACAGTTAGGGGAAAGCAGGGCCCAAGGCATGGCTCAGTGCTAGAGTGCCTGCCTACCAAGTTTGAGTAAGCTGAGCTCACACCCCAGTACCACCATAAACAAAGAAAAATTATGGCGGAATATCATTATTCATGTATTCACGTATTCTCCACCGAACTAAGTGTATATGGGGCAGAAGTGTGGCCCAGTATTAGGCTGAGGGTATAACTGTGGTAGAGTACTTCCCTGAGGCTCTGTGTTTGGGGACTGGCATAGAGGTGAGGAGAAGTTGCATTGAAAGTATGTAGGATGATGCTGGGAGCTCACAGCTATAATTACAGCTACTCAGGAGGCTGAGACCTGAATGATGGACGTTTAAAGCCAGGCAGATCTGGTTAGATCTATCTCCACTAATCAAGAAAAATGACAGACTGGAGTCTTGGTTCAGAGTGGTAAGACATCAGCTGGGTTCAAGCTGTGGTCCTGGCACCAAGAACAACAACAACAAAATAAATAAATAAAAGAACAAAGTGTGGGCTTTGGAGGGACTTTGGAAGAAGGCGGGACTCTCCCCAAATGGCCAGACATATTCTTAGGCAAACGGATGGCAAGGGCCAAGGATGCTGATGGGAAAAGATGGCCAACATTACCACAACACCTGCCTTCAGCTACTTTCTATTTTTTTCATACTTCATTGAGATATCATTAAATGCCAACATTACTGCTGAATTCTCTACAAATATCACCAAAGAGGGCTGGCACAGGGTGGGAGGGGAGTTAGACAGGAGTCTGTTTTCAGTCATTTCTGGTAAACAGACAAAAATCCAACTGTTTAGAAAATCCCTCAGAGTTCTCTGAATGGTATTTTAAGATCAGGATTCCCATTCCTATACAGAGCCCAATGCTGATAACATGAACAGATGCTGTTAATTGCACTACATACAAATAAGTTTATAAATAACACAACTGTCAACTGGGGCCTGGTTAGAAAGAATGCAACTATCTATTTCTTTTTTTCTATTTTTTTTTTCCCCGTTCGTGGGGCCTTAACTCTGGGCCTGGGCACTGTCCTTCAGCTCTTTAGCTCAAGGCTAGTGCTCTACCACTTGAACCACAGCTTCACTTTGGCTTTTTCTGCTTATGTGTTGCTGAGGAATTGAACCCAAGGCCTCATGCATGCAAGGCAAGCACTCTACCACTGAGCCACCTTCCCAGCCCAGAATGTAACTATCTAAACATATTACAATGGCTTTATGCATTTCCTAAAACTTCTAAAAGGAAATTTTTAAAATCTATTAACTTATATCTTTGACATCATGAAATAATTACCACCTCTTGGTTATAACTTACTGTGCCCCATATTGAAAACAGTATTTCATTTAGTACTTATTTTAACAACCTGCAAGGAATTAGATTGGGTCTTCTTATAGATGAGAAAACAGCTCAGTGTCAAGGAATTGTTCAAGATCACATGGCTTTAGTAAATGACAGATCTTCATTTTGAAACCCTCGATAACTCCAAAGCCCATCATGGTTAACTGCCATCTCAACACTTCAGAACAACATTAATAACATGTTCAAAAAACTCTTTTTTCTTTTTATTATGCCAGTCCTGGGGCATGAACTCAGGGCCTGGGTGCTGTCCCTGGGCTTCTTTAGCTCAAATCTAGCATTCTATCACTTGAGCTGTAGCTCTACTTTAGGCTTTTGGTAGTTAATTGGGGATGAGAGTCTCACAGACTTTCCTGGTGGGCTGGCTTCAAACTGAGATCCTGGGATCTCAGCTTCCTGGGTAGCTAGGTTTACAGATATGAGCCACCAGCACCTGGTCAGAAAAAATTTTCTAATCAGGAATCAAGCTTTTACATAGACTAAAGTATCATTTATTAGTAAGATGTTATACAACTAACCAGTCTGCCTTCTTAGAACAAATGCTGAAGACAAATACAAAAAACAAACAAACAAACAAACATCCAATGCTGCATAAAATCCACACTCAAGGATTAAGCAAAGTCCCTCACTCAGAGATGTTCGCCCTCTCCATAGAAAACTTGAAGGCTAGGGGCTGGGAAGGTGGCTCAGTGGTAGAGCACTTGCTTTGCATGCATGAGGCCCTGAGTTCGATTTCTCAGCACCACATAAGCAAAAAGAAAAAAGCCGGAAGTGGCGCTGTGGCTCAAGTGGTAGAGCGCTAGCCTTGAGCTGAAGAGCTGAGGGACAGCACCTAGGCCCAGAGTTCAGGCCCCACAACTCGACCAAAAAAAAAAAAAAGAAAAGAAAACTTGAAAGCTAGTTATTTTACAGTAGATTAAAAATAAAAAAACAAATGAGGGGCTGGGAAGGTGGCTCAGTGGTAGAGCGCTTGCCTTGCATGCATGAGGCCCTGGGTTCGATTCCCCAGCACCACATAAGCAAAAAGGAAAAAAGCCAGAAGTGGCGCTGTGGCTCAAGTGGTAGAGTGCTATCCTTGAGCTGAAGAGCTGAGGGACAGCGCCCAGGCCCAGAGTTCAGGCCCACGACCGGACCCCCCCCCCCCAAAAAAAAAAAAAAAAAAAACAGAAGAGGTTTTTGGGGCTGGGAAGGTGGCTCAGTGGTAGAGCACTTGCCTTGCACGCATGAGGCCCTGGGTTCGATTCCTCAGCACCACATAAGCAAAAAGAAAAAAAAAAAAAAAAACAAATGAGGTTCAGAGGATAGCAAAGGCAAGCACACTGACAGTTCAAAGAAGATCAGAGCCATCTTTAAAAGCTCTGATATTTGGAAAAATTTAATCTGGCAGCTCTCAAATATGCTACTTGCAGGACCTCTTAATACTCTTAAAATTTTGAGAATCCCCAAAGAGCTAATCAAAAATATAAGTACAGCTAAGAGTTGGTGGCTCTCACCAGTAATCCTAGCTACTGAATCAGGAGACTGAGATCTATAGATTGCTGTTCAATGCCAGCTACATCAGGAAATTTGATGAGATTCTTATCTCCAATAAACAACTCAGAAAAAAAAAAAAAAAGAAGTAGAGCTGTGACTCAAGTGGTAGACTACAGTTCAGGATCAATGCCTGGCTGCTGAATCAAGCCCCAGGACTGGCACAATAAATAAATAAATCAGGGCTGGGAAGGTGACTCAGTGGTAGAGCACTTGCCTTGCATGCTCAATTCCTCAGCACCACATAAGAAAAAAGCTGGAAGTGGCGCTGTGGCTCAAGTGGTAGAGCGCTAGCCTTGAGCTGAAGAGCTGAGGGACAGCGCCCAGGCCCAGAGTTCAGGCCCCAGGACCGGACCCCCAAAAAAAAAAAAGAATAAATAGATAAATAAATAAATACATGAGATATGTAAACACACACATGAGACAGACATATATAGACAGATATGTAAAAACGTAGAACTCAGCCAATGAGCAAAGCGTCAAGTACTAAGTTCAAGTCCTAGTTTCACAACCCAAACAAAAGAAAAATTAGAACTGAAATGCATGTGGTACTTTTGTAAACTTAACAAAACACCCCATTAGTTGTTAGTATACATTTAGAAAAAAACAACTATATTTTCCAAAAAAGGTAAAACTTCAGCAGAACAATGTCATTGTTTTACATCTTTAATAAATCTCTTTATCATTTAGTCTAATGAAAGACATCTGTATTCCCTTACCTTCTTTTACACTCAGGGATATATTGTTTTAATTACATGAAGAAAATCCACCTTACAAAGTCACTTAGTTGGAAAGGGAAGAAGTATTTTAGTAGTGTTCTTAGATTATCAGTAAAGTTAATGCTTCCATATTCCTTAATACTATACTAAAACCCAACTACTGGTCATCTCTTAAAGTTTAGGGTAATGAGATACACAGCAATGAGCCTGAAGCTATACCACAAGATTTTCTGTTGGAAGTATTAAATTAAAATCCATTAGTCTTTTTTTTTTTTGTCCATGCATGGTTTGCTAACATCACACATTTAATGATGGGAAAATATTCACTCTGAGTTATATAAATCTTCCAAATGCTGACAAACTGTCCTGTAATAAACAAATATAGCCATTATTATCAACACAGATTTTATCAGCAGAGTCTGTAAACAGTTCTGGGAAGCTACAAAGCTCAACAGAGTAATAAATATGTTCTACAAAATTGAAACTTAGTTTGAATGTTTATCATGACTCATACATAGTTGCTTTTCTTGACATAAAGGCTCATTTCATTTACTTTCAAGAAATGTTCACCAAATAGAATTCTACTGTCTATGACCAGTTATACTTCAGAGTGAAAATGACATTCCATGGCAAAGTAAGCAATTCAATTAAACATTACAAATGGGTTGGGTAGTGGAGGCTCACATCTGTAATCCTAATGACTGAGGAGACTGAGATCTAAGGATCATGTTTCGAAGCCAGCCCAGGGAGGAAAATCTGTGAGACCCTTATCTCCAATAAACTACTCAGAAAAAGCCAGAAGTGGTACAGTGGTTCAAGTGGTAGAGCACTAGCCTTGAGCAAAAGAAGCTTAGGGCAGTGCCCAAGCCCTGAGTTCAAATCCTAGGACCAGCCAAAAATAAAAAGAAGAGAAAAAACTGAATTCATTGGATTCCACTTTCTTAAAACAGCCAATTAGCAAAGAACACGCGTTAGAAATATTTCTAACTAAAATGTTAAAGTAAAACAACACTTAAGATTCATTTGCCAGAAATTACACTTTATATAAACTGCCACATTACCTAATTACTGTAAAAAATGAGCAGCTTCAACATTCATATTTCCTAAGGCTTTAAAATGTGGGATCAGGAAGGGGGAAGAATGTCACTCACATTTTAGGTACTACCACCTTACCCGCCTCAATTCAAGATGGAATTAAGGGTCCCACAAGTCAAGAAGCACCGATGAAGTATCCAGAGGTATAAAGAAAAGGACTGAGGACAAACTCTGACAAGAGCACTCTTTAACTGTAAACACTGGCAGGGGTACATGAACAATATCTTCCGGGGGTGCTAAGAGGAGTCTGACAGGAAAAAAAAGAAGACATAGGCACGAGGCTGACATGTCTGAATAGCTAGACGGGGGGAAAGTTGCAAAAAGGACTCTACATGAAAATTCTCACTGTAAAAAGGAGAGAAGCAGGGTACCAGTGGTTCATGCCTGTCATACTAGTTACTCAAGAGGCTGAGATCTGAGGATCACAGTTGGAAAGCATAAGACATTTTTCTCTAATCACCAAAAAAAAAAAAAAGCTGGCAGTAAACTAATTTATTTCAAAGGTAAAACACTACATATAAATACACTGCATCTTCCCATTCAGATACTGAATTTTCATATTACCTTTTTTCTCTTCTTCCTCTTCCTCACAAAATTCTGCTAGGGAAAATTCTTCTTTGAGTTGTTCTAATTCACGTATTATAACCTCTAGTTCTTCTCCACTCAGAGAATTAAGGACAGATTTCACCTGAATGAAGATAATAAAATATTATGGAAATATTAATAAAACGAAAGTTCACAGGGAGAAAAGACTGAAGAGCTCATTGCCAACACAGCTCTGTGTGTGTGTGTGTGTGTATGTGTGTGTGTGTGTGTGTGTGTGTGTGTGTGAGTCCTAGGGCTTGAACTCAGGCCCCAGGCACTTTTGTGCTCAAGTCTAACACTCCATTACTTGAAGCATAGAAGCATTTCCAGTTTTTTGGTGGTTAATTGGAGATAAAAGTCTCACAGACTCTCTTGCTTGAGCTGGTTTCACACCACAATCATAAGATTTCAGTCTCCTGATTAGCTAGGATTGCATCACCTCGCACTAATTTTTTTTTTTTTTTGGGGGGGGGGGGAGTCTTAGAGCTTGAATTCTGGGTCTGGGTGCTATCCCTGAGGCAGTTTGTGCTCAAGGCTAGTGCTCTACCACTTGTACTACAGTGCCACTTCCAGCTTTCTGAGTGTTTTATCAGAGACAATTTGCCTGGGCTGGCTTTGAACTAACCTCAGATCTCAGCCTCCTTAGCTAGGTTTATAGCCGGATCTATTTTTTAATAATTTTAACACAACAGAGTAGGTATTATAGGAAGATAGATAAAATTTGTATTTCCAAAAGTAATACAGGCTAGAGATAACTGAAAATTATCAGTGCTTTGAATGGCTTAGATTATCAGAGGAGATGAACTAACAGGAAATTATATATGAATTAGCAGCTATTAACAGGCTTTTTGGCAGCTAAAACCCATGACACTGAAGAAAAAAATAGATAATGAAAGACTAAGGTAAAAGAAAAAGACAGGGGATAGTAAAACCTCTTTGGTATTCTGTTCTTTTTGTATAGTTTTAGAGAAATAACATTTCATCTACTCAATATTTTTTCTAACAAACATTAGAGGATTTTTTTTTAATCTGTTATACTATTTCCAGAGTCCCAAGCCTTCTTCGGAGACACATTTCATACAAAGAGAAAAGAAACCATGCAACGTTTCTTGTTTGAAGACTCTTTTCAGCTGGGAGTTTGAGACTGGAATTACCTTTATTTCACTTTCTCGCGAAAGCATCTCCAGAGCTTCTAGATGTGAAAGGCCTTGAAATTCATCAAACAGTAGCCCATAATGAGTTTTCTTGTCTGTTTCCATAGTTACCTCATTGGAGGTCCTTAGCTCTTCTTTCTCCTTTGCCTCTCGTAAAACCTAAAAAGAGATGGAAGCATAGAAGCAGCAAACAATAAGAGCTCAAGGGTAAGTTTTAAGAGTGGAGAGAAGCAAAGCTAAGCTAAGTTCCAGTACAGAGTACTGCCCTTCATTCTTGGTACAACAAATCAAATTCACTAAGGATCAGGAACTGCAAGGAAAAAAAGAAGCTAAACATAATTTGATGCTAGATAGCATCTCCCAAGGAGCCACATTCATTTCCAAAAGTGGTTTCAACATTAACCTAACAAGCAATCTTGACAGTGCTCAGGATTTTGCACTGCACTGACAAAAGCCTACTGCAGAAAGAAAAGAGTTGGCCATTTGTCTAAGTAGTAGAACTCTTACTGCATATCCAATGCATAAGAAAAGCCTTAATTTTATAAAGCATTGAAAATTCTTTACAAGGAAACGCTAAAAAAAGTCCCAAGTTAACAAAGGCCAAAATTAAAATTAAAAAAAAAAAAAACAAAAAACAGAAAACAGTAATCAAATCAGTAAAGGTAAGAGTACCTGAGACAGAGTAGAATTCCGGTTCATAAGACCTTTGGTCCTTTTAAATCCAGGATCCCCTTCTGCTATTACATCCATTGTCTTCTTCCCAATGAATTCTAAGGCATCTAAACCCCCACTAATAACACTCTTTCCCTAGAAAGCAACATAAAATGGCATTACTCAATATTGGAAAATACATTTGTATGTTTTGGGGGGTTTTGGTGCCATTCCAAGGACTTAATCTCAGGGCCTACGTGGGCTTTTTGCCCTCAAGGATGGCACTCTACCACTTGAGCCACAGCTCCACTTCCTGCTTTATTTACTGGGAAATTTGAAAGAAGAATCTTTCAGACTTTCCTGCTGGGGCTGGCTTTGAACCACAATCCTCAGATCTCAACTTCCTAAGGAGCTAAGCATGAGCAACTAGTGCCCAACCATTTATATGTTTCAATTCTTTAAGAGTGGCCAATAATACCAAGCACTGAGAAGAACGTGGAACAGCAGAAGAAATACACATCACAGTTTTCCACTTGGAAAACTGCTGGCCAGTATGTACTATAGCTACCTATGTGCAGTGGTTCATCAAAAGACATATACAGAGCTGGGAATGTGGCTTAGTGGTAGAGTGCTTGCCTCGTATGCATGAAACCCTGAGTTCAATTCCTCAGTACCACATACACAGAAAAGGCCAGATGTGGCTCTGTGGCTCAAGTGGTAGAGTGCTAGCCTTGAGTAAAAGAAGCTCAGCGACAGTGCTCAGGTCTGAGTTCAAGCCCCAGGACTGACAAAAAAAGAAGATATAAGCAAAAATGTTCAGAGCAGCATTATTTGTAATAGCTATAACATGGAAACTATTTCAATGCTTACCAACTGTGGAATAAATAAGACATATTGACAAAATGGAATACCACATCCAAAATGCATCATGGTCATATTATACAAAAATGTTATGTGAAACTAGATACAAAATGTACTATATGTATGTAGTCAGGACTATAGTTATCTTCCTAGGAGAAGGGGCATAGTATCTCTTAAAGAGTCTGCACAAGTTCACATTATGAAAATTCATTGTTTTAATTTTCTGAATGAAAATTAATAAATACAGTATTACTTCAAAAAGCTACAGTATAACCATATATTGTGGTGCATGCCTATAAAGTCAATACTCTAAAGACTAAGGCATGAGTATTCTGAGGCTGAGGCCAGCCTAAGCTACACTCATTTCAAGTTCGAGGATCTTGGGCTACACAGTGAAAAGAATGAAAAGAGAATCCAAAGACGCAGTGTACCTCTGTAATCACAGCTGCTCACAGGTAGAGGTAGAATTGTAGTTCAAAACCAGCACAAGCAAAAGCCAACCATCTGATCCAAAAACAAACTAGCTATTTCTGCTTTCTAGATGCCATGGTGTGATTGATTCTGTTTTGTCATGTCCTCCCTGCCATTATGAACTGACATCTCTGAAACTATAAATCAAAATAAATAATTGGTCGGGCACCAGTTGCTCATGCCTGTAATCCTAGCTACTCAGGAGGCAGAGATCTGAGGATCTCGGTTCAAAGCCAGCCCGGGCAGGAAAGTCCGTGAAACTCTTATCTCCAATAAACCACCAGAAAACTGGAAGTGGCGCTGTAGCTCAAGTGGTAGAGCTCTAGCCTTGAGCTGAAGAGCTGAGGGACAGAGCTCAGGCCCAGAGTTCAAGCCCCATGACAGACAATAAATAAATAAATAATTGTTCCCTTTATATAGACATAGATAGATACATAGATAGACAGACAGATAGATAGATAGGCAGGAAGGCAGAAGAAAGGGCTAATGATGTGACTCAAGTGGTAAAACATACTTCATATTGCCAAAATAAAGGTTAAAATAGCCAGGCAGTGGTGGGCTGTTGGCTCATGCCTGCAATCCAAGCTTCCCAGTTACTCTGGAGGCTAAGATCTGAAGATCGGAGTTTAAAGCCAGGCAGGCAGGAAAGTCCATGAGATTCTTACCTCCAATAAACTATTCAAAAAACAAAAAACAAAAAAAAAAAAAAAACAGGAAATAGGGCTGTGACTCAAGTGGTAGAGGGTAGCCTTGAGCAAGTAAGCTCAGGGACAGCATCTAGGACTTGAGTTCAAGCTCCAACACTGAGACACACAGACACAGACACAGACACACACAGACACAGACACACACAGACACACAGATACAGACAAAATATTAAAATAAAAACTTTTTAAAAAGCCACTAGCTACCTACCTTTATGTAGGAAAGAGATTATGCTCTCTTAAAATGTTTCTAATAATGTATACTTATAAGAAAAATAATTTTGTAAAGCAGACATTTTCTAGGGCCAATAAACTTCAGAATTTCTGGTCCATACAATGCTATGTGCACACTGTAACTCTTCAATCTATATTCCTGTATTTTTAGGGGAAGTTTTCGCATAGCTTTTATTCTACCACTCAGAAGTGATTGATCCTCAAGTGACTGGCACCCTTGAAGAATAAGCAGTCAAATGACTCTTTCAGGAAAAGAACAGAAAGACATGGAAACCCACTATAGGAATATTAGTCCCATGATGCTTACAGGATAACAGAAAGACACAGAAACCCACTACAGGAATGGACGGGAGGAAAGCAGCTTGCACTTCTTACTCACTGTGCTCTGAACAGCAGTAGAGATGGTAGAGAGGACACCAAATGGCACAGATACTGGTGAGGAGTTTTCATTCTCCTTGGAGCTAGTTTCTCCTACAAAAGGGAGAACATGTACAAACACAAAAGAAAAGTTCATTAACCATTTTCCTTCATTATTATGTGATTTATTTTTTTAAAAATTGAGGCATTTTTGCATACAGTAATCTTATTTTAAGATGAAGGCTAAGATAAGCAGTCTTTTATATTTTCAGTTCATTTCAAATATAAAAGTATTGATTGCTGGGTGCAGGTGGCTCATGCCTGTAATCCTAGCTACACAGGAGGCTAACATCTGAGGATCACAGGGCAAAGCCAGCCCAGGCAGGAAAGTCTGTGAGACTTTTATCTCCAATAAACCCCTAGAAAACCAGAAGTGGCGCTGTAGCTCAAGCTGTATAGAGCACTCTCCTTGAGCTGAAGAGCTCAGGGACAGCGCCCAAGCCCAGAGTTCAAGCCCCACAAATGACAAAAAAAAAAAAAAATTAAAACTAAAAGTATTGACCTAGCTGGGCACTGGTGGCTCATACCACCAGTTACTCAGAAGGCAGAGATCTGAGGAATGCAGTTCTAAGCCAGACCAGGCAGAAAAGTCCATGAGACTATTATCTCAAATAAACTACTCAGAAAAAGCTGGAAGTGGTGCTGTGGTAGAGCGCTAGCCTTGAGTACAAAGAGGGTCAGGGATGATGCCCAGGTCCTGAGTTCAAGCCCCAGGACTCGTAAAAGAAAAGTATTGATCTATACACCATAGAGTAAATAACTTTATTGATCTGACCTTCTAAATAAGGGGAAACTATAGTCAGAAATAGATCAATGTTGGCAAGGGACGTGAATATACAGAAAGGTGTTGCTACAAATTGGCATGAAGGAATTCCCTTATGTAATCAAAATATTTTTCTATCTCAGGGAGCCACATAGTCTTTTATATTGTGCTGTGTAGCAAATATACTATGATTATACAGTATAAACATAACTGATTATATAGTATAAACGTAACTATTATTTCTCAACACAAAGTCATATTGCAAAAAAAAAGTTTTACTATATGCAAATTATAGCTCAACTTTATCCTAGAAGACTATGCTAATTCTTAGTAAGGGAACCAATAGACGTTACAAAGATGAATATGTTTCAAAAATAATCAGTTCTGTTTTACCTTTAAAAATCTTATACTAGATCAACTAGTACATCAAGTAATTTAACTATATTATATCAAACACTATTATGGAGAGAACTTTTGCTTTCAAATATTATAAATAAACTGATTTTACAACTGCCTTCCTACAGAGCAACTATAAAACCAGACAAAATAGAAGAAAGAACTATTTTTAGATACTGGACAAAAAGAACAAGACTTTGGTCCAGGAGAAAAGAGAAACAAAGTCAACCCTACAACTGGGCTTTCTTCCTACAGAAAAGTTCCAAACCCCAACACACAGAGGAGAACCTAAAGACAACAGAACATTCACAGGCAATATAAGTCAGGAATAAAGTCTGGAGTCGAGGTAGGCTGAAGCAGCTACCACTTAAAGTCAGAAAACATCAGAGGATGAAGCTATATAAGTAAAATGTTCCAAGAATCTACAGATGTGCCCTTGTGTCTTTATCTGAATAATACACTGTTCAAGCACTGGGCAACTTCACACAGCTGAGAGAAGAACTACTGCAAGCAGTAAGCAACACAATCCCCAGAGCTCCAACTAGGCTGAAATATCTGGTGTCTAGACAACCAAAGTGAACAGACTTCATTGAACACCTGAAGACTAAGAGTGAATTCAGAAGAATCAGGGTTCAGCAGTAAAGATAAACTAATGTTTAAGAGTGAAAGCTACACTACATTCACTCTAAACAAGCCTAACAAAGAGAGGGAAAGGGTGACATTGTCAAAAAGAAATGTACCCTTTACCTGACTTAAGTAATTGTAACCCTTATCTTTATAGTAACATTTCTTTAGTATGAATCTGAATTATATATACAATAACTAACTGCCAACAAAGGGAAAGCAGAACTGGGTGGCTTACACCTATGGTCCTAGCTACTCATGGGGCTGAGATCTAAAGATCACAATGGAAAGCCAGCCAGGGCAGAAAAGTCTGTGAGACTCTTATCTCCATTTATATATCCAGCAAAAACTGGAGGCAGTACAAGATATGGGGGGAGGGGGAGCATTCAGGGACTGTGAAGCCCTGAATTCAAGCCCCAGTGCCAGAACACACACATTAAGCGAGGGAGGGGGAGGGAGAGAAAAAAGAAAGAGAGGAAGGGAAGGAGGGAGAAGTGAAAAAGGGGGGGAGAGAAAGAAAAACAGAGGAAGAGAAAGAAGAAGAGGAAGGAAGGAAGAAGAAGAAGAGGAGGAAGAGGAGGAGGAGGAGAAGGAGGTGGAAGAGGGGAGGAAGAGGAAGAAAAGAAGCAAGTAAGCAAGCTAGCTACCTGGATTGCAGTGGTTCACACCTGTAACCCTAGTTACTCAGGAGGCTGGGATCTAAGGATCTTGAGTCCAGCCCGGGCAAGGTAGTCCAGCCAAGGCAGATTTATCTCTCCAATTATTCACCAAAAATGTGGAAGTAAGCATCACAGAAGTAGAGCTGTGGTTCAAGTGGTAGAGTGCTAACCTTGAGCAAAAAGGTTTAGGGACAGCACGCAGGCCCTGACTTCAAGCAACAGGACCATCACACACACACACACACACACACACACACATACACACACACTCTCTCACTCTCTCTCTCTCTCTCTCTCTCTCTCTCTCTCTCTCTCTTTCTCTCTCTCTCTGAAAGCAGTAGACAACACCCTTCAAGAAACATGACAACATTTTTTAAAAGATGATGAAGTAATTTCACTGGTAGCCTCTCTTTTATCTTAAAGTTCTAGAAAGGCTCATCTCGGGTACAATTTCCTTGGCAGTGAAATTAATCTCTCTTCTTAGGAACTTTAGAAGATGGAAAAGTCCTTATTATGAAAAAGCCATCAATTCTATTCTGGTACACTTATTATTCAACTAAAATCTAAGTCCACATAACTTCCACTGAGTAGTGTTCTCCACTGAGTAGTAGTTTTTCCCCATAATAAACCTAAACTCTGTTCTCCATGCTAGTCTTCAAAGGTGTAAAAAGAACAGATTCCCAAATCTCCTTTCCTTAGATTTTCATATTCAGGATCCATTAACTTTTTAAGACATTAATACTAGCCATTTTATTATCTAGCCCACTTCCTAGAGTTCACCCTGGTTTGCATTCCCCTCTTGAAACATGGCCCTGAGTGACAGACATCTTTCAAGTGTTATGAAGACAGTGCTGTCTACTATCCAAACATACTTCTAACTCCTGTTTTCCTTGCCCTCTAAAAGCAATTCCTGATACAAAATTTCTGATAATGCCAATAATTTACTCTCCCAGTATCTCTTAGTATGAAAGTTAGACATTATACCATTCTAGCCAATGGCATTTGAGAGGAAAGTTACTGGCGGCATGAGGAGCAGTGAAACTTCCTGTCTATATAATTCCTGAATTTGAGCTCATTTGTTTTAGAAGACAATACTTGCATCCACAGGATGATCTAACAAGTTACAAAACCATAAAGAAACCAACAAAGAAAACTGAAGATAACGGGACCCTCCTTCCATCAAAACACCATGCAATAGTCTATTTCTAGAGTTCTTCAGAGAGAAAAATAAACTCATTTTTAGATACATAGAGTCTTAGTCATAGGCAATGATGCCTCATTAAGAACAGTGCACCTCATACATGGAGTATTTTGCAGCCATGTCTGAAAAAGGTATCTCTCCAGTCTACTGACCCATGCACTATGGACTCAAATATAGGTCAATCTAGTTCTCTCAAGTATTTACAAGTAGTGATAGTGGAATGTCTTAGTCCCTGATGGATATGTATGCCAAGATTCAATATAACTCTACAGATGGAGAAAGATAGGTAGAATAAATCTGCTTCCAAAGAAAAATGATAGAGATGAGCAAAAGAGTATTAAACGAGAGACAATAAGGACCCTGAGAAATGAAGAAAACAAACCTGTTCTTCAAAACTTTTCTATATGGTTTAAGCAAGTGCAGGTTTCCTTTTGATCAAGACAAATTTCCAAGAATATACCTTCACCTTTATAAAAACACAAATGCAGGAAAAAAGAAAAGAAAAAGCTAGAATGTAGCTCAGTAGCAAAGCACTTGCCTCGCAAGTGCAATGCCCTGGGTTCTACACCCACTATCAAAAAACCAAAAGAAAAAAAAAAATCACCCTAAACAAAAATACTTTTTTCTCCTGACAGATTTAAATTCAGCTACAACTGGTCACCAAATAAAGTGCTAAGCAAGTCTCATATTCAACAAAGGCCATAGGCGGGCGGGCGGGCATAAATATAGATATAGATATAGATATATTTGCCAGCCCTGGGCGCTTGAACTCAGTGCCTGGAAACTGCGCCTGAGCTTCTTTTGCTCAAGGCTAGCACTCTACCACTTGATTCACAGTGCCACTTCCAGCTTGTTTTCTTTATATGATACTGAGGAATCGAACCCAGGGCTTCGTGCATGCTAGGCAAGCACTCTACCACTGAGCCACATTCCCAGCCCATGGCCATATAATTTTAATGTCTAGCAGTCCTTTGAAATTACTTTAGATGCAGAGTAGAGAGACATGAGCAGGTATAAGAGACAGATCACTAACTGGCAGCTGGATCTGCAATGTACCACACCACAGCTGTAGAATGTCCCCATGTCCTTAGTATCAGATGGTCACTAGATAGCTAATGAATCCAAAGTATCCTGGAATTAATGGTTCCATATACTGACCTCCAGCATGCTTGACTTCTGCTGAAATTTCACTGGGACTAGGGATCCCAAGGGAAGTCTCTGCCTTTTCAATGACGTTTGAAATACCTTGTCCTAGAGAAAATCACAATGTATTGCTCTTTGTAACCTAAACTAAACAAATACAATATCAAAAATGAAATATCAAAATGTGTATGTTCAAAATCATGATGGCTACAAGACATTATTTTTAACAATTTAGGGTAATTAATCCTTGGGACTATCTCCATAATATAATTTTTTTTTTTTTTTACAAAAACCCTGATATATCATCACTAAAGAACAGACATGTATAGCAATTCCTAGACTTCATTCTAATAAGAAAATGATACCAATTCTAGCCATGATATCTATCAGCTCATCAGTACTCGTCTTCAAACAATAAATCCCTTGAATAAATGTGGAGGGGGAATTATTAACAAAGTCCTTTGTAACGTACATCTGCAAAATGCACACAGACATTAATGAAATGACTGATGACCTTACCCACAGTGGCTACTGTAGCCGAAGCTGAAGAGAGCAAGGACTTGCCCCAGCTGCCCCAATATCCCCATCCGGTCTGGGGTACATCTTTGGAAACAGTTTCCTATTGTCCCAGTAAATGGGGGAGGGGGAGAGAGAGACACAAGAAAGTGTGAAAAAATTAGAGAGCCAGAGTCTAATATATATATATATATAAGTTATGTAATTAGTAGCCAAAGTATGGGTAACAAAATAGTATTTGGTTAATACACTGCTTGACTGACAGACAGTTGCATATTTTCATCATGTAAGCACCATGCAGCAAAGGTAATTACTGCTGAAGGCTTTTATAGAACTGAGAAAATATTATCCTTGGTTGTAAAAACAAGAAAAGAAGTGTAATCCTAAATTAGCATTGAGCTTGAGTCTCTTAACCTCAACTTTTTTTTCCTTGTACCAGGGCCTCACACGTTTGACTTGCTTGCTCATGGCTGGCACTCTACCACTTGAGCCACACCTGTAGTCTGGCATCTTGCTGGCATTTACCTGAAGATGGAATCTGCAGTTACTCTGGACCTAAGACCCTCAGTAGCTAGGACTACAGGTATAAGCCAAGGGTACCAGGTTAACCCCAATATTTTTAAATCCCAGTATTCTAATAAAGATTCTAGTCAGTGGCAGTCTGTGATACCTGAACAGGGAGAACTTCTGAAGTCTCAGGATCCCTGGAAGATCCAACATCTGGTCTCTTCCGAGTGGACACTACAGGTTCCGACTGACTCTCTTGGTTGGCATGTAGGTCAACAGACTCAGCATTCTTCACAGACTCAGAATTTTCCACTGACTCGCAGTTTCTATCTTCAAGGACAGGATTTGCTTCAGTTATCACTGGAGTCTCAGGATCATCTTTATCTGACATGATTAGCACATCACCTGGTCAAAGAAAAGCCCAAGGAAAAAAAGTGATGTCAGTATTTTTGGTATAAATTATTTGTCTGGGGGGAAAGGGAGGTTGGAAGGGCAGGGATGGGAAAGGGAAACAAAGGAGGAGGCAACAATGCTTGATAACAAATGTACTAATTACCTTGCTCATGTAATTGTAACCCCTCTGTACGGTATTTTCACAATAAAAATCTTATTAATAATAATAAAAGTTTTCCTAAAGCAATAAAAAGTTTAATTTAAAAAATTATTTGTCTAAATATTGATACTTTCAGAGTCACAGGCAGGTACATCAGTAAATTAATAAGACACGATTCCACAGACCTTCCCCAGTTCCTCCTAGTAACAACTTGCATAACTGAAGCATAGTAATACATTGTGGCAGAATCCACCAATCTTCAGATTTCACCATTTTTACATGAACTCATTGGTGTGTACATTAATTAGATAGATAAAATTTTATCCCAAATACAGTCATGTCTTGGTATGTGCAGGGAACTGCTTCTAGGACCCTCATATGATATAATGGTGTCATACTGGCACATAACCTGTGTACATCTTTCCATAGTTTTTTATTTGGGGGGAGGGGGGGGGGCATGGTTCTGGAGTTTGAGCTCTGGCCTCATCCTTGCTAGGCTGCTGCTCTACCACTTGAACTATAACCCCAAGTCCTCTGGTGGTTCTTTCCGAGATATGGTCTTAAGGGATTGGAGACCTGGCTCAATTGGTAGAGTGCTAGTCACTAGTGAAATCAGTAGGTACCAAGTTCTTAGACAAAATGAATAGAAAAGAGAAGAAGGAAGAAAACATAGGACCTCAAGAACTTTTTTGATTTGTCCCACAAATCAATCCTTCCACTATGTCTCCAGAGTAGCTAAGATTATAGACGTAAACAACCAATGCTAAGTTCTTTCATATACTTTAATTCTCTCTTTACTACTTATAATGCATAATACAGTGTAATTCCTAGGCATATATTCACACATGGGGAACACTGACACAGACACACACACACACACACAAAACCTCTATACAAGTTCAGTACAGATGAAATTTTTTCCAAGTATTTCCAATTAGCAGTTGGCTGAATCTGCATGTACGGAACCTATTTATAGGGGCCCAAAGATATAGATTCTCATGACCATCACTGCAAGAGACATGCCAGACAATTTAATTACATAGATCCCTGCCCTATCCCTTCTTTTAGCCTCAGCCCATTCCCACACTTCTTCTAACCCCTACTCATTTTCCTCTGAAACTTTGTCACTTCAAGAAGTATAGATGGAATTACATAGCATGTCACCTGTTAAGAATTTTTTTTACACAGCATTTAAGTCCCTCCAGACCCACTTTTGTTGTATTAAGACTTTTTATTATTATTTCTGAGTAATAGTCCATGGTATAAGTGTACTTTAGGACTATTACAGAAATAAAATTATTCAGAAAGCTTATGTATATGTGTTTATGGGAACAAAAGCTTTCTCTGGAAAAATTCCTACTGAGTTTAGTTTCAAATGATACTGTTAGGCTGGGGATGTGGCTTAGTGGTAGAGTGCTTGCTTAGCATGCATGAAGCCCTGGGTTTGATTCTTCAGAACCACATACACAGAAAAAGCTGGAAGTAGCACTATGGTACGAGTGGTACAATGCTAGCCTTGAGCAAAAAAGCAGCTCAGCAATAGTGCCCAGGTCCTGAGTTCAAGCCCCAGGACTGACCACACATACACAAAAAAGATACTATTAAATTCTTTTCCCAAGTAGAATATCATTTTACTTTCCTAGTGATTATGTATGAATAATCAAGTTCCCCTGAATTCTGACCAACCTTGTGTTGTCACTATTTCGATTGAGCCATTCAGACAGGTATGTAGTGGTACCTTACTGTGCCTTTTAAATTGCATTTCTCTAATGGTTGATGACCCAGGCATCTTTTCATGTGCTTATTTGCTGAATATATACTCTTCACTGAAACATTTATTTGTATCTTTTGGTCATTATCCAATCATTCCAGTTTGGTTTTTATCATTAAGTACTATAGAGATTTGAGATCGCTGTATCTTGTAGCTTTAACTCCTCTGTTATGTGGCTTGAAAATATTTCACACTAGTTTATAGTTTATCTTTTCCCTGTCTTCCTAGGGTTTTTCACTGAGCAAGTGTTTCATTCTGAGGAAATTCTTTATCTATTTCCCCTTTTACTGACCTGACTACCTTTAAAATCTTTACTAATCACTTCCTACTAAACATCAGAAAACATTTTTGTCAGAAGTTTTTTAGGGCTCTGTTTCATATTTGTAGTGGTGGCCCTAAAGATTAAACCATGTCCCTAATCCCTTTGCTTTTGTTTTTAGATAGGGTTTCCTACTTTTGTCCAGGCAAGGCTCAGACCATGATTTTTTTACCTCTGCCTCTCAAGTACCTGAGATTACAGGCATATACTACTACCAAGCCTGCTATCTCTGAAAGATTAACTTTTTGCTTGGGCTGACCTTTAACCGTAATCCTCCTATCTCCTTCTCTGGAGTATCTAGGATTATAGGTATGAAACACTATACTGGGCCTCTTACTATTATTAAAAATATTCATCATAAATACACCAATATTCTGTTGGTATTGGAACATTTGATGTAACAAAAGAGATGATTGACTTATATTTTACACTTACTTATTTTTTTTTACAGTGCTAGTAATAGAACTCAGGGCCCCACACATACCAAGGAAAAGCTCTATCATTTGGCTATATCCAGTGACCTCCTCAGATCAACTTTTGAACAGCAATTCAATTACCCAATCCAATTCCTTCCAGAAGGGCTCTTTGGCAATTAAATCAATATCATACTGCCCTGCTACAAAGAGAAGGATATTCAAATATCGTGAGAGAATAAATGTATTTCTTCCCCTTTCTTTCACCCCCTTGGGTTGCGATCTTTCTTTTTCTCTCTTTCACCAACACCCAAACACACAGGTGTGTATAAACCTATTTTATAGAGAGAAGGACTACATGCAGAAAAGAGCCAATACATGACATCAAAATGATTCAAATAGATTTTTAAAGCATATTAACAACTAAAGCAGAAAGACTAGACACACTCTTATAATTAAGATACATACCAAAATAAGGTTAACAGAAAGGAAAACATCCATTTGAATCAGGAGACATGATTCATACACAAAGTACCAAACACAAGTCTAGAGTTTGCAGTGTCAAACTTATCCTAGAGATGTTTTTAATTTGTCTATATAATGTCTAAACTTTTAAATTAGTTCCCAAGTTTAAAATCCAGTCTTCATAAAAAGTTCAAGTGTCCAATTTCCCTTGAAAGCTGAAAGATCTGGCAACAAAGGCTCTATACTGACTGGTTAATAACTACCTCATGCCAAATAGCTACTGGTTTTTTAGGCAATGCTCCTGCACCTCACCACTGACACTTAAATCCACTTCACTCATTTATGTTAACCTGATGAGTCCCACAGGCATTTCAAACTCCTGCCATGAGAGGTTTGTAGGATTGTGACAGATCAAAATACCAGGCAGGGAGAGAGTTCAAAGGTATAAAAACAACCCACGAGAAAGCTCAAAGGTATACATGATACCAGTTACCCGGAGTCATTAAAATACCAGGGAGAAAAACAATAAGGAGGCATGAAACTGGAAGACAACTTTAAGACGCCTTGGAGCTAAGCTGGGGGGGTGGGGGGGAAGAGTGTAAGTGTTGTACACTATGTGTAATACATACATATATGTAATATAAACATATACTATGTGTAATACATTCAAAATATATCATTGTAGAAATGTAATTCATGTAACTCCACATAAGATTAGGACACACTCCAATATATAAAACACTGGTAATCTGTATTCTTCGGTCATCACCATCTAAATTTAAAACTAGATGATTTAAAGATGATCTAGAATGTGCAAGGACTCTCCTCTCACCGAATTCATCATCTCACAGCAAACAGAAATAAGTAACAGGTAGGTGAAATTGCGTTATTTAATGGTTTCCTAAGGTTTCCGGGTATTTTGTGATGAACTGGAAGAGAAAGACTCCAGTGAACGAAGAAAAAAAAAAATACACCGAAGTGATCCATATCTTTAAGGAACAAAAATACATAGGCCTTGGGTCTCTCATCCCAAGGGTCTATGTAAACAAAAGGAAATGAACTAAACAATGACACGCCTGCCCCAGTGCATCCTCTCAAGGCGAATCTAGAGTTAAAAGCTCGCTCAGGTATTTTGTCCCACGCCGGTAACCGTAGCGACCACCGAGAAGTTAGCCCCGCCCACACTTCCGCGTCTCACCGCGAGCCGGCCAGTAGCCCGACCCAGCCGCTACCAGGACCAGCCTGCCAAGGGCTGCGTCCTTCGGAGTACCCGGATGTCTCCAGGTGGGCAGACACGCTGTGCGCCCCCCCCCCATCCAAAAGCAGTTACCGGAAGTCAAAACCACGTATCGAAAGTCTGGAGTGAACAGACACCCCGAAGTTTGCAGGCTGGACGCGGCCGCCTGTTCCCCCCTTTTCCCTCCCCAGCGACCAAGCACCCACCCCGGAACCTACCTCGCTCCTGCCGACCTCAACTTCGGGAGCCCTGCGCACCCAGCCAGCACCGCAGCCGCCGCTCCCGCCGACGCGCCGCTCCCACTGCCCCGGGAGTACTTCCTTCTCCGGGGGGGGGGGGGGGGGGCGGGTCCGGCCGGGTATACTTCCGGGTCGCGCATCCTCTGGGGTCGGAAGCAGCTGGGCTCCGGTTCGGTGAGTTTGGGCTCGTGCCGGGTGGTTTGAAGGCTGGCTGGCCGGAGTCGCTGGGGCCGTATCGGCTGTGAAAAGCAGACGGGGTGTCCGTCCGCCTTTGTGTTTTTGAAGCCCTGGCCATCCGATGTGTACTGAGCACCAAGTACCCTCCCGCGCGGTCCTGAGGCCAGGGGTCACCCAAGCCACTGACTTGGCTGTGGGCAAGGACGACCTTGAACAAGTGGGCAGAACAGTAACAAGTGCTTGTGGGGACGCTTAGGGACACGAGTGGGAGGGGAAGGAGGGGAGGGAGGACCAGCAAATGCAAAGGCCGTAGCAATTTTTTTTATTTTTTTTTTGGGGGGGGGGTCCAGTCGTGGGGCCTGAACTCTGGGCCTGGGCGCTGTCCCTCAGCTCCTCAGCTCAAGGCTAGCGCTCTACCACTTGAGCCACAGCGCCACTTCTGGCTCTTTTCTGCTTATGTGGTGCTGAGGAATCGAACCCAGGGCCTCATGCATGCAAGGCAAGCGCTCTACCACTGAGCCACCTTCCCAGCCCGGCCCTAACAAATTTTAGCAATCCAAGAAAAGAGAAAAAACCTGAAGGAAAAAAAAAGGGGGGAGGCGGTGAGGGGGCTTGGGATGTGCTTAGTGGTAGAGTGGTTGCCTAGCATGCTTGAAGCCCTGGGTTCAATTCCTCAGAAACAGCCGGAAGTAAGTGGCGCTGTGACTCAAATGATAGAATGCTAGCCTTAAGTAAAAGAAGCCCAGGCCCTGAGTTCAAGCCCCAGGACTGGCGCAAAAAAAAAAAAAAAGGGTTGTGGGAGCACACAGAGATAAATTATGAGGCCAGGTACTTGAACACCATGTATTGTCAGTTTTAAGAGCCGAGATAAAGAATTTTTTCGTGTGTGTGTCAGTATGTGTAAGCCCTGGGGTGAACGCAGAACCCAAGCTTTGCCCCTGAGTGTTTTTTGTGCGGAAAGCTAGCTGTCTTCCACTTGAACCATAGCTCTATTTCTGCTGTGTGTGTGTGTGTGTGTGCGTGTGTGTGTGTGTGTGTGCGTGTGTGCGTGTGTGCGTGTGTGTGTGTGTGTGTGTGTGTAATTTGAGGCTAGTCTCACGGATTTTCCTGCCCAAGCTCCTTTCTCACCATGATCCCAAAATCTCAGCTTCCTGAGTAGTTAGAATTATAGGCATGAGCTACTGACACCCAGCTCAGGATAGTTTTAACTCTTAATGCGGAACTTATTGGAAAACAATGGTAGGTTTCTAAGCAGAACAGTGTGATACTTTGATTTGTGGTTTTGAAGATGACCCCTGCCTTCATCAGAAAGATGTATCTCATTATTTACCCTTGAGCAGTGTAAATGTGTAAAGTCTGACTTGTGGAGGTAGAAAGGTACAAGGTTGTAAATATGAGAAAAATGGAAGTTTTCAGAAGTAAAGAGAATTGGCTTATCTAAGAATCCAAATAGATCTCTGAGTATGAAACTCAGTGGTTAGAAGTGCTTGCCTAGAATGTACTGGGACAGAAAGAGCAGAGGAGAGAAAGAAGAAAAAAAGAATGAGAATAAATGGAGACTAAAGAGGAAAGAAGAGAATCCATGTTTTCTACTTCTTTAGTGGTTTCAGAAGAACCATCTTCCTATACCTTCCCCTGAAATTTTTGTTTACTTTTTGTTTTTGTCAGATGAGAGAATTGAACCCAGGCTGGTTATTTAGAGAGAAGCCTCAGATTTGTCTGCCTGGGCTGGCTTCAAATCTAGATCCTCAGATCTCAGCTTCCTTAGGTAGCTAAGATTATAGGCTTGAGCCATTCCAACACTGGCCTCGTAACCTTTTCTTTTAACAGTGGCTGCTACTTTTCCTCTTACCCCATTTCTGGGACTTGAACTCAGAGCATTGCTCCTGAGTTTTTGTGTTCAAGTCTAGGGCCCTGCCACTTCCAGCTTTTTTCTTCTTTTTTTTTTGTATTTCATTGAAGAGTCTCCTAGGTGAAAAGCTATTTAAAGAGAACAGTAAAACAAATGTAGTTTGTGTCAGAACAGGAAGGAGCTCAAAAGACCTGGAATTTAAGCAAAGAAAGGGATTATAATGATAATCAGCATCCAGATCAGAAAACTAATGCCACTGGAGCTCATTAGATCTAATTAGTGACTTTGGTGCCACCGAAGACCACACCAGACTTCTAAATCCATGTCAGCAAGCGCTTCTGTGCATGCTTCCAGTGCTCTGGTTCCTTCTCATTACGCCATCTGAATCTCATGGAGAATTATGGGTGCTAAACTGGAACTTTCTAACTTTAGTGTGTGTGTATATCGAACACACACCTATAATGAGACCTAGCTTTTTCACTCAAAGCAGCACTTAACCAACTTGTGCTGTACCTCCACTTTCAGCTTTTTACTGGTTAACTGTAACTAAGAGTCTAATGGTCTTTCTAATGAGTCTAATGCCCAACCATGATTCTCAGATCTCAGCCTCCTGAGTAGCTAGGATTACAGGTGTGAGCCACTAGTGCCAGGCTTCTGAACTGAAATTTTAAGCTTATCACATATATAGTGAAAAATCACCCATAGACTTTTTTTTTCTGATTGTGGGGTTTTAGCTTTGGGCTTGGCCTCTGTCCCTGAGCTTCTTTTGCTCAGAGATAGCACTCTCCCACATGAACCACAGCACCACTTCCAGTTTTTTCCTGCATAGTTTATTGTAGATAAGAGTCTCATGGTCTTCCTGCCCCGGCTGGGCTTTGAACTGCAATTCTCAACTCTCAGCCTCCTGAGTAGATAGGATTACAAGTGTGAGCCACCAGTGCCCAGCTACCCGTAGACTTTTTAATTTGTTTGACTTGCTTGAATTTGTGTTTAAAACCACCATCTCTAATAGACGGTGTTTGAATACATCAAAGGAGGGTAAAATAGGCATTAGGAAACCCATTTAGGTTAAAAGGATAGTGAGGGACAAGAAAACATAATTGAAAAACATCTAGGAGATGCAGTAATAGTAACAGAATGGCTGATAATTTGCTCATTTCCATCTAATCCTTAAAACTACCCTATGAGGTAGTTACTGTTAATAACCTTGTTCAACAGATACAAAAACCAAGGCCATTTGAACTCAGTATTCACCTAGTGGCAAGACTACTCATGACTGGAAAGCCCATTTTCCTAATCACTTAGCCACCTGATCCTGTAATTATGGGATTACAAAAGTAGACCTATACCTGGTACTGGTGACTCATATTTGTAATACTAGCTACTCAGGTGGCTGAAGTCTGAGGATCATAGTGCAAAGCCAGTCCAGGCAGAAAAGTCCATGAAACTCATATCTCCAATTAATCTCCCTTGAAGTGGAGCTCAAATGGTAGAATATGCTAGCCTTGAGTGATGAAAGGTAACAGACAGTGCTTAGGCCCAGAGTTTAAGCCCCAGTACCAGCATGTATATACACACACACACATGCAAGCCATGCTTATAGTGGTCATAAAATTTCAAGATAGGCATGAGGAGTTGTTCATATACTGAGATGAAGAACAGGAAGGTAGCCAAACACTGGTGGCTCATGTCTGTAATCCCAGCTACTCTAGAGGCCGAGATGTGAGGATCACAGTTCAAAGCCAGTCTAGGCAGGAAAGTCCGTGAGAGTCTTGTCTCCCATTAACCATCAGAACTCTGGAAGTGGCTCTTTGGCGTAAGCAATAGAGTGCTGGCCTTGAGTGAAGAGTTCAGGGACATCTTCCAGGCCTAGATTTCAAGTCCGCGACCAACAAAAACAAAAACATGAAAGAAAAGAAAAAAAAAAACAGGACGGTATTTTAGGCTACAGAGAAAAAAAGTGATAGTGGAGAGATGATAAATCTAAACCTGTCTTATCTGTGTTTTTGTCCTTTACTTGCAGTATGTATTTAGCAAATGTTTATGGTAAAAAGGATGGAAGTCACAGATAAACTCAAAATAACTTTAGATTTAAAGCAAAGCTCTAAATAACTGCTGAAGGTCTTTCACAGTGTTCCAGAAAATATGTTGAGCTGACTCTATCCAAATGCTAATTAGGAGCTGTGTGGTGGCTCCATGATCATACTGGAGGCAACTGGAGTATTTTAATCTGAAACTTGTAAATTGATGGTGCTCAAAATGGTTATAACTGTTTGACTATGGTGAACTTTTTTTTAGTGTTACAAATACCTGTAACTATACTTGATTTCAAGCAGAACAACTTTGCTTGTTCTTTGCATTAGATAGATTCCTTGTAACAATCTGCTCTTCATTTTCTTGCTTTTCTCCTTGCCAATTCAGAATGTCTCCTTGCTAATGTGTGTGCCCATTTTGTAGGAACTCCTACATTTTCCAATATGACAGTACAGGCAAAGTGAAGTAGATGAGCTGTAAAAATACAGATTGGCACATATTTAATTATAGGGAACAAAATATTAATATTCCAGTATAATTGGAGTGAAACAAAAAACAATACCATCTGGCATCAGTGGGGTTTTTTTTCCCCTTTGAGTTATCCCAAAACTATTTCTGCAAATAGCGGCTTCCTCAGCCAAGTTAATCTTAAGCCACCAGAACGGAAATCAGCCATATTACTTCCTTATTTACTTATGTTGAGAATTGGAGCTGAGTAGAAATACTTCTTCTCTCACAAGTTGGCAGAAACAGCAACAAGGCAATCTGTTAAGGATGACAACTACAGTGTCTCTCCCCTCTACCCCTCTTCTTCTCCCCCTCTCCCTCTCTGTCTTCACCAATACAGTCAGTAGTCAAGATGATTTTCAAGATAAAATCATCTATATTGCTGATTATTTGTGATCCCAGCAAAGCTTACATTCTGCATTGCACACAGATGAAAAAAGGAGTATCATGCTTCTGTTACATTATTAATGCGAAAGAAAGGTGATAGAAAATTGT